TTTGTGTTTACACGTATAAGGACCCAATTTACTTTCCTAATGTCCCTATTTACCTTAATATTGTACTAGATGTCTTTATCCTTGTAAATTACGATATTACAAGATTACGGATGGGTTTTACAATTCTATGGAACACAGCTGTCCAAAACAGAGTAATATGAGACTTTAATATTGTAAACGTCCGTGTTTACAAGTATAGGGACCTAATTTAACTTCTGAATGTTCCACTTTACCTTAATATTGTACTTGTTTGTACCATATCTGACCCTCCACTCGTACAACGACACGTGGATCTCATAAACTCGCCCAAGCACCCAAGGCCTCGGACAATCGGCATAGGCTACTGATGATATTGTCTCAAAGCAGCAAAAGATCATTACAGGGCCCAACACAGCCTACAATCGGTATCCCCTACCGATTCTGCAGAATCAACCTCGAAGCACCCGCCTGAAATATCTAAGGACTCGTGTCAACCTCACAGGGCCCTCCCACGAGTCCCACATCGGAAATGAACACCACAAGCATACTAAATGCCCTCTATAAGTATGCCCCTCCCACTACAATACAGGGGTAAGACTTTTCAGCTTGACTTTTATACTACTATATAGTCAACAGCAAGAGCTCTTAAAAACAATCTTACTCGAGCATCGGAGGGTCTTAGGCTGGTTCCACACCGGTTCCATAGACTTTACGAGCTTCGCTTATCTTCTATTCAGGATCAGCATCCAAGGACAGGAAGAATCGGCATCCAACACCCAATCGATCTCTTGATCGTCCATCCCACTTGTAAGTTGCACTCATCTCTATCTATTCAAGATTTAGCGCCAACAACTCATAAATGGATATACAAATACATCTCACTTCTAACTCAAAGATCAAATTATAATCATCAGTTTTAATCTCTAACTAAAAATTCATTATGCTCTTCTTCTTTTTTATGTCGTTAAGTGTTATACATATAATTTCTCATGTCATTGTTTTTAGGTTGGTCGTGGATGTTTTCTGGCAGAATTGTATTGACAAAAGTATGGAAAAAGAAGCCTTTACAGCAATCCTCCACTTGATGTGCTTGATTTTGACCACCAAATCAAGCAACAACATATTTAATGTGTTTAGCTTGAATGTCCACATCTTCATAGCTAAAAGTCATGACTCAGACAATGCACATGTTAACACATCAACCGGCATATCAGCCTCCATCTCTGAATTTGATTTCACAACTCAAACACCTAATTAATACACAATACCCTAACAAAACACCATTCTCTCTTCAATGCCATTCATTTCTTGATTTCATTTCTCACACAAGAAATAAAAATTGCATGCTTATGTAAGTGGTTAAAATAAGCTTGTAGATTGCCAGAGAAGGAGCGTCATTGCAAATTATAAAATTTCGTGTAGAGTAGGTCACGAAGGTGTATTTTATTATAATATATATATATATATATATATCAATCATCCTTTTCCTTTGTAGTGGGTTACTTTATGTCGGCCAACCGTATTGGGTTGTCTTGCGATGGGACAGAACAACATTCTTCTATAATCTATATGTCTAGTGTAGGTCTCCCTCACATTGGGGATGGCGTCGGGTCAGTGTTGTTTCCCAATCTTGTAGTGGGTTACTTTATGTCGGCCAACCGTATTGGGTTGTCTTGCGATGGGACAGAACAACATTCTTCTATAATCTATATGTCTAGTGTAGGTCTCCCTCACATTGGGGATGGCGTCGGGTCAGTGTTGTTTCCAAATCCATGCATGGGTTTGCGTTCTATACCCTTGTGTTTTTATCTATATACTCCCTCTCCCCTAGTTGTTTTTGCCTAATCAAACTTTCATCATATAATGCGATTTTTGTTATAATTAGGTCTATCTAAAATAATACTTGTGACTTATAGATGATCATATATTTTCGAGCTTCACCGTGAGTATTTTCATTACCCAAATAAATAATATTGGGTTGCAACTTATGCTCAACTTACCAATGAGCTATTTCCTTTTATTTCAAAGAGGTCAATTCCGCTAAATTTATGATTGGAAGTACTTGCTATTAAGGAAATGAAATTCATAAGTTCAATTGAAGCATTTTTTATAAAAATATTGAAATTAAAGTGACTACTTTTGGATAAAGAAATCCGTCCAAAGTTGATAGTAAAGTTATTCAACACGAGTCAAGCGTACATGTAATGGTGGAATTATTCGCGCTCTACCTGAGCACTCTCCCATACTAGCAGAACACTTTTTTAGATACTATTTGTACTTTCCAAATTCCAACATAAGTGGAGAATCGCTTAAGGAACCCGTGAATAGGCTTTCTCGAAAATAATTATTGAAGGTTAAATTTGGTTGGCATAATAACTTTTGCCCAATGATGCAACATCTATTTTTATTAAAATGTGCCCTCTTATGTAGTTTATTGCACATTTTAAAATTCTTCCCCTCACATTATTTTTAAAAAGAAACTTGTTCCCTTACATCTATATAATGTTACACAATACCCAAAAAAAAAAACAAAAAAGGTATTTCCATTTCTATGGAATGAAATAAAAAGAAATGCATGGATTTCAAATATTTTAGTGCACTTAATCATTTCAAAATCCTAACATTTTCATGTATTTGGTCATTTCAAAATATGGTAAAATCTTAATATATTTTTTTTCTTTGAGATTCTTCCATAAAAGTGAAACCTCAATATCAACCAAGTAGATTGCACATATCCAAATGGAAGATCCAAAAATGGGTCATCCCTCCTTATGGGTGGATCCTGTGGTAGATTACCCTTGTTGAATTTTGAGCAAATATAATTACTTTAAAAACAAATTAAGAAGCCCAAAATTGAAAAGCTTGGCATTTTAACTGTGCCAACAAATTAGTGAAGATATCTCACAAACCAAGGCCAACATATTAAATTTGTGGAAAGACCCAAGAAATTAATCAAACCACGACCAACGTCCGCTCTCTCTCTCTCTCTCTCTCTCTGAAACTTTCTCTCACTCGGTTTAAGGTTGAGAGCAGAAGTCGCTGTCGAGCTTTGAACACTTGTCAGTAACCCAGTTCGACGCAGCAGCGACTCTTTCGGACCGATGTAAAAAAGACAACGAAAGCGAGAGAAAACAGTGCGAAAAAGGAAGAGAAAGAGTAAACAAACTTAAGACAATAATGAATGCGAGGCTCTTCCATATTTAGTTTCTAGATTCCCTTCTCTTTTACTTATGGATAATAACAAGAAGATTTTGTAGCTTTAGAAAAATAAAATATTTTTGCCTTTAAAAGAGAGATTAGCAGGGCCTCCTTGTTGAGTGCATTTTGCATTTTGCTTGGCCAGGCTAGTGGTTCTTGCTGGTTTATGACAGTGTTCATGGCGGATGGTGAAGAGCAGGGACCTTATTGTCTATGGTATGTGTGCTTTCTCCTTCATGTTCTTTCATTTGGGTATATCTTATACCTTCATGATTTAAAATTTTACCATTTTGTAATGTTTTATGTTGAGGTTCAGCTTGTGGGTCCTGTGGATTATGTATGCCAATGTAAAAGCTGTGGTCTTTTCTGCATATCTGAGATGATTCTTCTTTCTTTTGTTTATCCTTTTTCTAAGCTTTTCTATTGATTTTTTGGCTTGGGATCTTTTAGATTTTCAATGTCTGTGCAATGGCAAAGAATGGTATAAAGCTTTTCCTTTTTGGCACTTTGGCAAGTTTGCAGCATCATTCAGTATTAGGAACCCTTGGCAATTCTTGTATCTTTCCTGCCCTGTTTCCAGTGGTGGATGATATATTGATTTTGAGTCTGAAATTGTGGAAATAACTTTCAAGGGAATGTCTTAGCCTTTTTAATCCTTCACTAGAGCCGTGATGGCTGGCTTATATCTGCCCTTTCAGAGATGCAGATTCTGATTTTCACTTCCTTCATTTTTTGTGATTATAGATTCTTTGCCAACATTTTGATTTACTTCTATCCAGGGGGGCTGGAAAGGATCCTGAAAACTTAATGGTGAAGGCACCAGACGAGGTTTCTAAGGTGAAACAGAAAAGAAGAGGTGTTCTACTTCCTTGTGCTTCTGCCCAAGGCAACTTCCTTTCCTCTTTGTGTTTATCTGTTTCCATGTTCTAATTCGTCTGTCATAATGCTTGGTTTCTTCTCTGTAGATTTGAGATGTTTGGACATAGAAAAGGAGAAAGAAGATGCCCAAACTCCTAGAGGAGTTTTAGAAGTTTGCATAAGAAGCTTTGAATCTGAAACTAGTGTTTCTGAAAATAGCACAACAGAATCAGAAGCTCCTTGTCCAAATTCAAGTTCACGTTCTCACTGGCGTAAATTTTTTAAATTATGGAGTAAAAGATCAATTAAGCGCTTAGCCTCCTTCCCTCCTCTTGGTGTGCCAAAGATATCATCAAGAAGAAGGATCAGGAGTGCAAGAGAGAATCCAGGACTAGCTAATATATACAACTTCAAGTCTTCGCTGGTGACCTTTACCTTCTCTGACCTCCAAAGGGCGACCAATAATTTTAACAGTGGTCTGTAATTTCGTCCACAAATTTAAACCTACTATCCAATATGAGACTCATTTGTTTCACATTTATAGCAGAATTTACAAAACTGTAAATGCAAGACTACTGACTTGAATTTAATCCATATAGAAACTTCAAATGGAAGTTTTATTTTCATCTTGATTATGATATTTTCTTCGTGGTTCCTATTTCTTGCAGAAAATACAATTGGTAAGGGTGGCTATTCCGAAGTTTATAAGGGTTGTTTGAAAAATGGGCAGCTTATAGCAGTAAAGCGGCTGACTAAAGGAACATCAGATGAGAAAACAGCAGGCTTTCTATCTGAACTTGGCATTATAGCTCATGTAGATCATCCTAATACTGCTAAGTTAATTGGATGTTGCGTTGAAGGAGGAATGCACCTTGTTTTTGAATTATCTTCACTTGGGAGTTTAGGATCTCTCCTGCACGGTATGATCATGATTTGTAAATTCATGTTCTTAATTTAAAGTGCTTATTGGTTTATGGATTTCTTAAGTATTCTACACATTCCAGGTCTGAAGGCTAACAAACTGGATTGGAGTAAAAGATATAAAATCGCTTTGGGGATAGCAGATGGTCTGCTGTATCTTCATGAGAGTTGTCAGAGGCGAATCATTCATAGAGATATTAAGGCTGATAATATTCTACTTACAGAGGATTTTGTGCCTCAGGTATTTCCTCTTTCTGCTGTCGGTTTGTTTTTATCATAATGTGTAGCCTAGGATTACAAACAGTTATGGCAATGTAGAAAACTGTGAATGATGATTGCCTCTTTCATATTGGCAAAGAACAATTAACAGTACTAAACTATGTCTCGTTTTCGTTTATCACTTTAAATTTGACTTACTGATCAGTATGCCAATTTATACCAGATATGTGATTTTGGGCTTGCGAAGTGGCTACCCAAACAATGGACTCATCACAATGTCTCAAAATCTGAGGGCACATTCGGGTATGTATGGTAGCCTCTTTCATTTTACAGTTAAATAACGCATTTTATAGTTCAATTTCTTCATTATACCCTTAAATGGCAGGTATTTTGCCCCTGAATATTTCATGCATGGAATAGTTGATGAAAAAACGGATGTTTATTCTTTTGGAGTCCTGCTTTTGGAGCTTATCAGCGGGCGTCCAGCTTTGGATGATTCTCAGAAAAGCGTTGTAATTTGGGTAAATTTGCTTCTGCATAGTTTGAAACATACCATCTCATGTTGTCAATATATACAAGCCCTGGCTCCCTTTTAAATTTTTTTTTTCCTCTGTTGTAGGCAAAGCCTTTGCTTGATAACAATGAGATCAGGGAGCTTGTTGATCCTTCTATTGGTGACAACTATGACCAGAAAGAGATGGATCATGTGGTTTTGACTGCATCTTTATGCATTGAGCAGTCTTCTATTTTACGTCCGCGAATGAGTCAGGCAAGTACAAATTAAAGATGCATATCTATTATGCAGCTTGCTTCATATTTTCATGGTTTGTGTAAGTTCACAATCAGAAGAAGTTAAGGCAGAAAAATGACTAGCCTGAATGTGATCTAACATTGTGTTGTGGCACACTATAAAATTGTAAATGCATTTAAAACCAAAAGAAAACAAAAAGAAGGAAAATTAGGAATGAGTTCATACTACCTACCCTTTAGATGCTTTAAAAAATGTATTGTATGGGATGGCAGATTGATGAACAATTCTTTGGTTGTGTGCAGATTGTGGTACTTCTAAGAGGCGATGAATATGTATCGAACTGCGCAAAAGAATCGAAAAGGAGGTCTCATCAAAGAACATACTCGGAAGAACTGTTGGATGCACAAGAATATAATTCAACCAAGTATCTGGGCGATCTCAACCGTCACAAGCAGGTTGCTTTTGGTTCATGAAATAGGTGGAGAGAATATTTGAACAATGTTTAATTATAGCAGTTCTCATAGACTCTTTTCTCTGGGTGCTTGCAAGTCCCATGGAAGTCTACTGGTTTTATATTGATCTCCATGGACATGGTGCTTGAAAGCACTCTCTCATCACTGAAATGGTGGCTTCTGTCTATCATTGTAAATTCATGTCAGATGCCATGAATTCCATGTAAAAAAAAAAAGTTTTTCCTTTCCATATGAACACCCTAATGGCGCCGCTTTTGTTCTTCCATTGCTCAAACTTGTTGGATTTTTACTTTTGTTTGCTTGTCCATTGTTAATGGATTTTTTAGGTTCAAAATATTTGTTCTTTGGTCTGAAATGAAGACTTTGTTTGTGTTTCTCTTGGGGGTGGGTCGTTAAAAAAGGTCCATATCCAAAATGCAACACGCCCAACAAATGGGCCTAGCCCAACATAATCTGGTACTTTTTAAAATTTACTTTAGATTAATTTTTATATATAAAAAATAAAAAAAATAAAAAAAGTCAATCTCAGATTTCTTTCTTGTTTAACCTGTTAAGAGATGACAGCAAATATTCATATCACCGTTGTCCATTAAAAATAAAAAACAAACGTGTTGTGTTCCTCATCTTGGCTTAAGATATTCTCGTCCCTTGTCGTAAAGAAACCAAATGTCCCCTGTTTTTCAAATTATATTATTCCTTACGTTATGCCTATAATATCACGGGTCTCCCCGAGAGTTCCAACTAATCCCGTTTGGCCCCCCACATTTTCATCAAATACTGATATTGACCCTAATGGGCCTTTCAATGCTTCAAATAAGATTCAAAAAGACTAGTTTGACCCCATATTATGCGATTCAAGAAAGGGAGAAAACAACGAATTCCTCAAAAAATAAAATATGGGAACTTCTTCAATTCTGGATTAAATCTTATATCAAGGGAAATTTAGATCTTTTTTTTTTTTTGATACATTGACTCACTAATCTTTGAATTTGTGTAAAAAGATAAGGAAAGTTTTAAATCAATTATCATTATCACTTACCAATACATGTTTTTTGTTTTGTGTTTTTGGCTATACAAGATTGAGTGGAAGAATTTCTCACCCAATAAAAAACACGAAAAATTCCAACAACAACAAAAAAATAACACGAAATATATATTTTTTTCGTTGTTTTTCTTATACAAATGATAGCCTAAATTAATATGATTTACGAGAGATAAATTCGAACTTCGGTGTAAAGGATCTCATCTCACTACTTTGACAAACTGGCTTAACTCATGTTTTAGAGAGTTTTGTTTCAAATAGAAAGGACGCGTGAGGGCAAAATCGTAAATTTGCAACCATTTTCGTTTTCCTTTTAATTGTCAGTAAATTCCTAGGGAACCAACGAGATTATCCAAATCCTACTGGGATACATTCGACATTTCCCCAAATTAGCTTACAGTGCAATTAACACCAAGCAAGCACAGAGAGAGAGAGAGAGAGAGAGAGAGAGAGAGAGTCTAAAGCAAAAACAAAACTAAAAAGCCAGATAGAGAGAGAGAGACAGAAACCCACATTTCCATTCCAAACCGAAACGAACCGTCTCCATTTCAAAGCCTTCCAAGGTCAAAACTCAACCACCACCACCTTCCCTCCCTCCGTAAAAAACGACGCCGTTCCAATCCCCCTCCTCCTCACCCAACTATCTTATGCTGTTGCTGATCGCCTTAAGTCGGCGACCGTCGTCGGCGGTGGGGTCCACTCCTCCCACTCGCGGTAACTCTCCGGTGGCCGGTTGCATTCCCCGGGCTCTTATTGCCTGACTATGAAGAAGAACCAAAACAACAATAATAGCAAGCTTGTTCAGACTAATCATCACCATCATAGCAATACTAATGGCTTCCTTCCTAATTCTCTGAAATTCATTTCTTCTTGCATTAAAACCGCCTCTTCCGGTGTCCGGTCAGCCGGCGCCTCCGTCGCCGCCTCCATCTCCGCTGACCCTCACGATTGCCGCGACCAGGTTTAATTTCGTTTTTCAAATTTTAAAATTTGTTTATTGCATGTTCCTTGATTAGGAAGTTTGTGGAATTGGAGAACTGGTTTAGCAATTGATTTTCGGGAAATTGTGTTGTTTTTTTTGTTTGGTAACAGGTAAAATTGAAAGATAAAGGAAATGAAAACGAAATTTTAATTTTTACTTAGTTATTTGTGTTTAGTTGCTGAGACAAATTTGAGGGAAAGACAAATAGGAAGTGAGGGAGTTTTGAGTTTTCTTTTTTTGTCTTCTTTTTGAGTTAATGTCATTTAATTTGGCATAGAGTGAAATGAAGAGCTCAAGCTTTGTGCTCGATTGTTGAGAAAATTGAAGGAGAACAATTAAAATGTGAGGGGATTGGTTGGCTCTTGAAATTGAATTTTCCTTTGGAGTGAATGGTTGGCTCTTGAAATTGAATTTTCTTCAGTTTAAATATGTTTGGTTGGTCGGATAATGAGGGTGGAGAATGAATGAAGCGCTTGGCTGTTGTGCTTCATGTGAAATTGAGTGTTTTCGAAAGTGGACACTACAACTTAGTTGTTGTGCTTGTCAGAACTGATGTTTTAGAGTGGTTAGTATTTTGAGGATGGGGATCAAACACAGCCAATTTATGATCAGACATATATTGATGGTGATCAAATTGATAATCTAAGAATGTTGATATTGGATCATATTGGATATGGATATGGCCCGGGGAAATTTAAGAATGTTGAATGGTAATATCATTTTTGGATGATGGCAGCCATTATTATTTATTGATGGTGATCAAATTGATAATCTTATGCTGTCTGAAGGATATGGATATTGTGGAACATTATTACGTACCCTGTCCATGAGGTTTTGATGTTTTTCATTGAAACAATCATCCAATTAATGTCCAGTAGACCATTAGCATTTCAAACCTAGCATATACATGTAAGAAAATCCTGGAGTATATGGTGTCTAAATTGAGCATTCAACTAAGATAGAAGTCAAAATATAACAAAAACATGCTTTTGGAAACCTGGAAATTTCTGTACGATGATGGTATATGTTTAAACTGTGAGATTTATGAGTAAATGTGAGCTGTGGGTGGTTGTAAAATGGTGAGGCACAGAATTAGTGTGTCATTGCTTTTAAAAAACTGGAAGTTGTAAGAGGCACTGTGTACACTTTCAACATTTTCTACAGTCAAATGCTTTGTTTGCCTTATGATATAGAACCAACTAGAACGTACATGAAATGCAATTGATTTAATGGGTTTGAGTAACTTCTTTGTGTAGAATCTATTATTAGATTCAATGTATCAGTGTAGTTTAATTTGTTGTGGCAAACAGGTGCTGTGGGCTTGCTTTGACAGAGTAGAGCTTGGTCCATCTTCCTTCAAACATGTTCTACTACTGGGTTATTCCAATGGCTTTCAAGTCCTGGATGTTGAAGATGCCTCTAATGTCAATGAACTTGCATCAAGGCGTGATGATCCAGTTACATTCTTACAGATGCAACCTCTGCCTGCAAAGTGTGAGGGTCAGGAAGGATTCAGATCTTCACATCCTTTACTCATGGTTGTTGCGTGTGATGAATCAAAGAGCTCAGGTATGACGCAAACAGGGAGAGAGGGGTTGGTCAATGGTCATACTGAGCCTCAAACAGGAAACCCTCCTTTGTCTCCTACAGCTGTTCGGTTTTATTCGCTAAGGTCTTGCAATTATGTTCATGTTCTGAGATTCCGTTCAACTGTGTATATGGTTAGATGCAGTCCTCAAATAGTAGCTGTGGGTCTTGCATCACAAGTAAGCATTAACTTATCCCACGTATTCATTAATATTATATGCATTTGGAAATGCACAGCTTTACTTTTTTTCTCTTCTCCTTCCAGCCAAACTGTAGAGGCTGAATAACTGTATCATCTTATAGATGTTTTTTTGGGTGTGTGAGCGTTTGTGGAAAGTTCACCATGTTCCTTTAATAAACCAGAAGAACCAGATTGGATGGTTGCAGGTTACTGGTTTCAGACATTCACTGCAGAAGCTACATCATTTAAATATGAAAGTTATGTAATTCGTATGACTAAATAGGTAATGAAAAGTATTCGAACCTGGCTTAAGTTCTTTTTCTTTTCCAACTGTTTGCTGGCAGATATACTGCTTTGATGCGGTCACTCTTGAGAACAAATTCAGTGTCCTTACTTATCCTGTCCCCCAGTTGGGAGTTCAAGGACTGGTTGGGGTCAATATTGGATATGGTCCCATGGCTGTTGGTCCCAGGTGGTTGGCTTATGCTTCCAACAACCCTCTGCTATCAAACACAGGCCGCCTCAGTCCGCAAAGTCTTACTCCTCCAGGTGTTAGTCCATCAACTTCACCAAGCAGTGGGAGTCTGATGGCTCGATATGCAATGGAATCTAGTAAACAGTTAGCAACCGGTTTACTGAATCTGGGAGACATGGGTTACAAAACCTTGTCCAAGTACTATCAAGAGTTTATACCTGATGGTTCCAGCTCTCCTGTGTCATCAAATTCTAGCTGGAAAGTTGGGAAGGTTGCATCACATTCAACAGAAACAGATATTGCTGGAATGGTAAGTTTTCTTTCTAGCTGAAAATTATATTTTAATCTTACACTGGAATCATCATTGTTTCACAGCATACTTATAAAAAAGAAAGGATTTATTTTTTATATTTTGAGTTATAAATTCCATTTCCTTGAGACAATCTGTTTGAGGTGAGCTTAAGAATCTACCGGCATACTTACTATTGCTTAATAGTTATTATTATTATTATTACTATATTTTTAACTATTGCTCAATAGTTTAGAAAAACCCAATACTAAATAGCAGCGGGATGTGGTTGGTTTTTATAGTGTCACAATGTTTTACGTTATTACGTTCAGCAATTCTGATTGAAGCATATTTACTTACTCAAAATGGTCTTTGCAGGTTGTTGTAAAAGACTTTCTTTCCAGAGCTGTTGTATCACAATTTAGGGCACATACTAGTCCCATTTCTGCTCTATGTTTTGACCCAAGTGGGACTCTTCTTGTTACCGCCTCAATACATGGAAACAATATCAACATTTTTCGAATAATGCCAACCTGCTCGCATAATGGATCAGGCACTCAAAGCTATGACTGGACTTCTTCTCATGTGCACCTTTACAAGCTACATCGTGGCATGACATCTGCTGTACGTTCTGGCCTTTAAACGGGTTCTCTTATGCTCTTTCTATTATGTTCATATGTTGATCTGGGCTTTGTTTTTCCTTGTGCTT